TTTTTAGATAAAAGATATGTTAGAGGTTATATATATATATATATATATATATATATATATATATATATATATATATATATATATATATATATATATATATATATATATATATAGTAATTATCTAATAAGAAACACATTTCATAGTTTTTAATGAGTTTGATACTATTTTATTTTTTTATCATGATCAAGTTCAAGTTTTTTTATTACAATCAAAAGAAAAAAAGGTTTTTTAATTGTTGACACACTAACCTTTAGCTTCTATTTTTTTTTATTATACTAAAAATTCTCTATGTAGGAGTTTTTTTTCTTTTTATCGATTGTTTTTTCCTTCAATTATGAGATTACTTTTATTATCTAGTAACTATAACAACTAATATAATTTAACTAACTAATATTTCTTTTCGCATGTGAGGAGTTATTTAACACACATAAACAAAGAGAGGAGATCCTACATCCAAATTTGATCGGACCTTGATAGCCCAACAAATTAAAAAAGGCCCAATTAAGCTTTGGGCACAAAGCCCACGTTATAGGCAATTAAAAGACACTAATGGGCTCGATATTAAATCCACAATGAAAGCCCATTCAAAAAAGAAAAAGAAAAAAGAAAGCCTAAAGAAGCTTTAGGAATGAAAGAACTTAATATAATACGTAACATAATTGTATCATAGATAAAGGATGTGGAAAGTCAAGTTTTATTATATATATATATATATATATATAAGACTAACGATTAATTCAAACGTTTGGCGTATAAGCCAAAAATAAGGACATAAAAATATTAGAATAAAGGAGTGAAAATACCAAAATATATGGAACTTTACAACCTAAGATAAACATGGAGCATTGTAACCCAAGATAGAAAGTTATGAGACATTATAATTCAAGAAGGCAATTAGTACAAAAGGATGTGAAGGTTATAAATACCAACTGAAATAAAACAATCAACATACAATAAACACATACAACAATTATATTCTTACAAATTATCAACACTATCTATCAAATTCTTTCAACATTTGAAATACATACAATAGACTATAGTTTGTAAGCAACAATTAATAGATAGTAATCACTACGTAGTAATTATAGGTTGGTAGATCATATCTGTTTTGGTTTATACTTTTATTGAAGCATATGCAAAAACCATATCTTGATGTTTAAAATTTCAATTGATGTTTCTTCATCAATTTAAATATTTGTAAGTTTTTATGTGATGCAAGAGCATCTCTAAATACTTAAAACCCAAAGTTCAACGTACAATTATGGCCAAAATTTTCAGCTATCCACCCTATTTATTTTATTATTATTTTATTTATTTGGATTGGATATTATTTATTTGAGCTATTTTATTTGTGTGGCCTTGGGCTAATTAATTTATCCTCAAGTTTTTTGGATTTTCTATTTATTTAAGGGCATGGCCGAATGTGTGGCCTAGGTGAGTGAGTAGATCCTTATTTGTTTAGAAGTCTTTATTTAATTATGAGTCTATATAATATGCAAGACTTTTTCGAGCCATAGAATATGCAATAGCTGATCGATATTTTTAATTTTCCCTCATCGTGTTAAAGAATTTCAAGTTTATTTATAGGAGTTCACATGATTTTGTTTATGGATTATTTAATAGCCTGTGCTGTGAGAGGATACTGATTATATAGAAGAAGAAAATAATTCAGATGATAAATATTTTTGGTTTTTGTTTGATTGTTTGATAAATTGGTGCAAAGCTGCTTTTAGATTATTTGTAATGGGTTTTATGTTTGTTCTAGACATAACATTCTATGTATGATGGTCCTAATATAACATTCCAGATATAATATTAGTGATGTTTCTACTCTGCAACCTGTTCTTCAAGAGGATTTTAAGGCTACCGAGATAGAGGTTGATGTCTTCTTTTTACATTCAACTGTTTGTGATGCCAGACCACAAATATTAAAATGACTGAATGGATGAAAACACAAGAAAACTTGTATTAAATGTACTTTAAAGGCAGAGATTTAAAAAATAATGAAAAATCAGTGTAATTTGTTTTCTCCGATATGCGTGGCATGTGATTGAACTCTGGTGTTTCCATTTTTGTTAAACTGGATTTCCTACTATTAAGTTTCCAATAGAATTTGAAAGCTTGGCACTTGCTTCTTTTCTGTTCCTTCTTTCATTTTATTCACTTGCCTATGAGATGCGCCTATGCAGTGTCTGCTAAACATTCTGACCATTACAATATGGGTATGAAAATGTTGTTTAATCAATTTACATGTAGAAACAAAATGTTTTCTAACTATTAGCATTTGATTTTTTCCAGGTGGGACTTGTAAGAACCAGTGATCATGTTTTCGGAGTGCTATCCACCGAGGAAATTGGTGAACATTTAACTACCATTTGCGAGGGCGACTGATTTATGAAGTAACCAGTGGTGCTTGGGGGAAATGACTACACTGGCATTTGAAGCTATCAAAACATGCTTCATTAATCATGTATTTGACAGAAAAAAAAGTGAGAAACATTGTTTTGAATTGTATTCCCATAAATTTGTTAAATTACCAAATCATGTTATGGATTTGACAGAAAAAATGAAGAGTAAGAAACATTGTTTTGAATTATATTCCTAGATTTCACCCTAAATTTGTTAAATTGCCAAATCATGTTACCATTGTTGCCGTCTCTGTAGTTTTCTTTGTCCGCTGTTTTCTAAGAAGTGATAATGGGATAATTGGCTTCGTTTAGGGAAAACCTTCTACTTGGTCTAAAGTACTTGCATGTGTATGCCTTGGATGATGTGATATCTCCAATGCTCGGTGCGCTGTAGATGGTCAGCATGTCTTTGGATCTATGAAAATTTGCCAGTAGATAAATTAGTGAACCTATGCAGTCTATGCAACTGTTCAACATAACCTACCAAGAGCTTCTCTTCCACCATGAATATATCCAAAAAATATCATTTTGCTGCCATTTCTTCTATTTGTCGGACAAACAAAAATTTTCAGGATTCAGCTTTTTGTACCAAACAATCGAGAGTTTAAACTAAACTTTATAGCAACTCATTGCTTCAACGATGGTAGAGGATTGGATGAAGGCGATGGAGAAGTGGAGGATGAGTATTTGTTCAGTAACAATATCTTTTCTTTACTGATTCTAGGTACAATAGTGTATGCTGCCAGAAACACAATTAATGTATTTTTTTTTCATGAAACGTTTCTCTCTATTTGAATAACACATGCTTTTTGAATTTTCACTTTATTATGTTTCTATATCTTATTGCATGACTGAAACTTACTTTTTTTCTCTTTGCTCGAAAACTAGCTTCACAAACTCAATATATATATATATATATATATATACTTGTTATGGATAAATATGTCTGTTGTTTTAAAAAATTAGAACTCTTATATCTATAACTAGAATTCTATCTTTGCCCTAATTAGAAATCTATTTAAAGAGATCCCTTCAATACAGAGTGTATGTGTCAGACTTACAACCCATTCTTTTTAATGGTATCGAGCCTTAAGAGATCTAATAACCCATGTTAATATCATGTCTTCTTTTTTTTTTTCAAGTCTGCTGACGTTTCTCTAGAAACACCCAATGCTACTATCATGCAAATTATTTCCCTTCTACATGTTCAACATCAATTTTTTCTTAAACTAAATCCCACAAATTTTCTTCTTTTGCTCATCCAAATCAAGCTTATTCTTCAAGGTTATAGAAAGTAATAGGGACATGTACAACAAAGGTTATCTAATATAACAAGAATTATTAGAAGCTTGCTTATCTTTATCAATATTTGCACTAAAAAAATATATCCATGTTTGTACTACGGACCACATTCTAGTTAATTCTATATGCGTGTTTTACTTTTTTTCAAACGATATGACTTATCCCATTACTTTTCATAATTTTGCAACTTTTTATTAGAGTCGTCGTATCCTATAATTACAGGGTAAGTCATCATCATCATTATATTATCTCATTTCTTTTTCTCTTTTGAGATTGTTAGCAAGCTTTGATGGCACTAAAATCATAGATAAAAAGTAGATAAGAGCGACGCCGGAAGACGTGTCATGTCATACTCATTTGTAAACTAATGGCGAACAAAATAATCATTCCATGGCTTGCAAATAAGCATGAACAATATTCATCCATATAACACATCTGCTCATAAGATCTGTTAATACTTTTACGGAGTATTTTGTACTTGGATTTTTTTATATGTTTTTCTAACTTATAATTGTTGTAAATATGATATTTGCATCTGGTTGAAAAGAAAAATATTTGGTGTCTTTACTATGTTTGATGTCCTTAAAAATTCATAAAGAATTTTGATAAATTTATCATTTTAACCTTAAAACTCACGAGATCTAAATTTGAAAATATTAATATTTGCCTTATGTTTAAACTTTATATACATAAAAATACATGGATTATACTAGTGTTGAAAACTAATATATTGAAATGGATTCAACTAAAAAATTAAAATTTTGATATAAAAAACATAAAAATTTGACTTTATAAAATTATAATTATTAAGTAAATAAATATTTACTAAATATGTTTGGAAGAATAGGTACATAATATCTAAAACAATTGTGTTTTTATTATTAAAAACTAAAGATATATTGCTTCAGTTAATATTATAAATAGAAGTATGTAAGTGCAAAATACATTTTCTTGTCTTGTGATTCTCACCATCCAGAAGGAAATCACATTCCTTACTTTTAAAGGAATATAATACTTTTAAGGAACGTTAAATTCATGAATATTTAAGATTTTCTGTCGCACCAAAAACAAAAATCCTTGATATTGTCCCCATAGCATGCAAAAGTCTCCTTAATCCTATATATGAGATAATTAAAGGGATCGAAGATGATATTGGAATTTGAGAAAATCAAAATGCGGGTTTTGATTTGGCTTTGTGATTAGGTTAATAGGGTTAGGGTTTCAAACAAACACAGTAATATATAGTTCAAATACATTAGTCTACGTAGTTAGAAAAAAATCTCTACATGAACGATCTAATCAAAATGCGAATCATCGATCGGCCAGTGGATTCTGAATTTTGGATTGTCATTGTGAAAACGTGGGAGCGGTACCTCCACAGAAACAACCAGGTACTATTACACCAAGTGCTAGCTTTTATCTTTAGCACTTGGAATCATAATTATAGTTTTGAATCTGGTCAAAATATTTATTTGTAAATGAGATCATATCATCTTCAAACAACGCAAATATTTAGTCTCTTTCAATTGACTCTTTCTTCTCATAAAGCTGCTGTGTGCTTTGTGATTATCCCATACAGACATCATTCGAATCAATTTGAGGAAATGCAGTTGTTAAGTGGAAACTATGCTTCGTGAGAGTGAGAGGTAACGTACCATGTGGCACTGCCGCTATTTTGCACCCTTCAGAGGCTACAACTTGCAATCCCCGTGCTTAATCAGAAAGATTAACGCCAACTGGACAACTGATGTTGCTGTCACTCTTTTTCTTTTGGATTTTATGTCATCTTTACTCGAATTTTATGTCATCAAATGATAAGGTTGTGCTGCATGAACGCAGAATGAAATATCAATAATCTTGTTTTTATCAACATTTTTGCTCCTTTGACTATTATGTCATATTGCGTGCTCAATCGATACCATTTTCCAATAACGTGTTGTTGGAAATTCTAATAATCATGATTATATATAAAAATGAATGATATATCTATCATATATCTCATTGAATAACTCAAAATCAGTTGACCCTTCTACTGAAATGAATGAAAAGAAAAGAAAAAGTTTAAATTGTATTCTTGGACCATTTTTTGCAGTGAAGGCCCAAATACTTTTTAGGTCTGGCTCCCTATTTTTTTGGTCTTGAATTATTCAATTCGGCCCCCATGTGGTCTTTTTCAACATCTTGCTCTCCTGTGCCAAGGGTCTATTTGTGAGGAAGGATGAATTGAAAAAAAAAAAAAAGAAAATGAATCGAAAGAAGTGAAAGGGAAGAGACGGGAAGGGATGGATGCTTTCCCATCTAACTAATTGTTTGACTAACAAGAGAGAAGAATGATAAATGTCAATTAATCCAAATTAAAATATTGAAAATTATAAAAGAATAAAAAGAAAAGGTGCTTTAAATCCCTCATTCAATCCTTATCTTTTTTTTATTTTTATTTATTTATCAAATGAAGGTTATATTTAATCTCTCCTTCACAGTCCCACCCTTTTTTATACATCTTTTTTAGTAGATTTTCTCCATGTATAGAATCTTTATTTTTCATTTTTAAAAAAAAATAAATTGAAATATTTTATTTTTTGTTTAATTTTAATTAAAACATTTTATTATTATACTATTTATTTTTAATATGAGACTTAACTTTTAAATGAATAATACGTGGTGGTATCTTAGGTTCCAAAACACAATAACCCGTATATATATATATAACAATTAAATAATGATTTAAAAGAGTAAAATAATGCCCAAAAAAAAAAAAAGTTGAAAAATACCAATGCCCCCACTCTCAATAATTTCCCAACCCACTTCATCATCACTGCTGTGTTCTCTCTTTCTCATCACTGTCTCTCTCAAGAAAGATTTACTTCGAACAGGAGTCTTGTCCAAAAGATGGAAACTTGTTCTTGATTCTTATCCTATTTTAGATTTCTGAGATGAAGGCTGTTTCAAGAAATACACCCCAGAGATATTGAAAATTTTATTAATTATGTGGATTCATCTGTGCTTAGATTCTGCAAAGGAAACTTTAGCTTGCAAAAGCTTAAACTCTCCATTGTCCTCCTTAATCTGAAGTTGTCTTCTCTTCTGGACAAATGGGAGCGATTGGCCCTCGAAAGCGGTGTCAAAGGCATTGATTTAAGCGTTGTCGCACTTGGTGTTAAAGAAGTACACAATCTGCCTGATAGTTTTTGCTACTACATCAGTAACTGTTTTGAAATTGAGTCTTTATATGTGAAATTGTCTTGTATTCAGGAGCTTCATCTCACGGACATCCATATAGATGAGCATGTGTTCAGTGAGCTTGTCTATTCTTGTCCTTCAATGGAGAATCTATCTGAAATATGTATGGGTTTGAAAAAAATTATGATTTTTAGACATCCTAGGCTCAAGAATTTTGAAATCCGCTCATGCACGGATGAAATTCAATTAATTGAAGCTCAGGTATGCTAATACTGGCAATGTGGTGGCATTCAATTCTTTCTTCCTATATCTTCATTCTTAGCTCAAGCATATGGCGGTAGAGAATCCCATATTTATCGGGTTTTCTTGACAGAGGCAACGAGGAGAGAGAGAGAATCACAGCGATGATGAATCGGGTTGGTAAATAATTAAGGTGGGGGTATCGGTCTTTTCAAAAAAAAAAAAAATTGTATTATTATTTTTTAAAAATCATTATTTAATTTTTTTTTTTTTTTTTCACAATGTCCTGTCAGATTAAAATAAACGGCCTATTGATAGGAAAAGGGAGATCATAACAAAGGATTTTAGTCATAACAAGTAAAAAATAGAGAATTTCAAAATAAATAAATAAAGTATCTCAGTAATAAAAAAAAGTTGGAAAAATAAATAGTTCATATACGAGGAAAACTCTTTCTCTAATCTCTCCTAACAATCAGATTGCAGGTGATGGGCAGGCATGGCAATACTATTGGAAGGGATCAAGATTTGTGTCTTGATGACTTAGAATTTGTAAATGGACTAAGCAACAGCATATTTTTTATTGTCTCAAGACCAATTATATTAGTGACATAAGTTCTATAATCTTAAAAGGCTAAGACAGGCTACTGAAAACATAAATTATATTATCTTAAAGGCTAAGATTTGCAGCCTGTTAGCATTGATCTTTGTACCAAAGCCCTCGTGCTGGGAGTGATCATGGCTGCTGAAAAGAGAAGATAAAAAAAATAAAACTATATTATCTCGAAAAGAGTCACATTCTTCCAAGCTTCAAAAGATCAAGTTGCCGTTATATTTGGATTAAATCATCACTTTATACTATATCGAAAATTTTATTGCAACCCTTCCACTTATCTAGCTTGAAAAAATACTTTATATTATTAGATATTGTTATACAATAGTCAATTTGATAATTTTTTCAGTTATATTGATTAATTTTCATTAATCTCCAAACGTTGACCAATCTAGTGACGACATGTGTTAATTTAAGTGTAATTTTTTTTAAAATCATATTTTTTAAAGTTAAAATAATTAATAATTATTATAAAATCATTAAAAATTGAAAAAAATTGTAAAGAAAAAATTTTAAATAGTCATATTTTTTTATTATTTCTAATGAATTAAGAAATTTGTAATGATTTTATAACAATTACTAGTAAAGAAATTTTTTAAAAAAATATAAAAAAATTGAAAAAAATTAATAATTAAATTTTTATTAAAATAATTAATAATCATGAAAAATTTCTTTAATTTTTTTCAATTTTATTTGTTAATAATTATTTTAAATATTAAAAATTGAAAAATAATTCTTTACATATATATTTTTAAATTTTTATTTAATAATAATTATTATAAATCATTAAAAAGTGAATTTTTTATTATTTTAAAAATTTTTGTTTAGAATTTTTTTTCAATTTTTAATAACTTTATAATTATTATTATTTATTTTAACTTTTTTAAAAAATAAAAAACTGATTTAAAAAAAATTACATTTTTACTTTTAAGTTAACATGTGTCACCACTTGATTAGTCAAACATTAGTCAAATAACAAAAATTAGTCAATCTAACGAAAAAACTTAACGGAGGGGCAATTTTGCATAACGTCCAATAGTATAATGTTTGTTATTAACTATATCCGAATAGAGAGATTGTAATGACATTTTCAATATAATACGGAGACGAAGGTGTGTTTAACTCTATAATATTTTGGTATCATTGTGATACAAGATAGAATTAAATGAGTTTTGGGATTGCAAGTTGCAACTTCATGAGAGAATTGATAGAGAATTATGTGGAGAATATGAGTTAACAATATGGACACATAGATGACACATGTGATGAAAAAAAGAGAATGTGAAACACATGTGTGAGGTGTTAAATAATGACGTGGTCTGCTTGTTATTAGATAGTTAGGATTGTTGTTGGCCTAACGGATATAATATTAATGAAGGAAGAGAGAAGCTTAGAATTCAATTCTTGGCAACTAGTTATTCTCTCTTAGTAATTTCTCTCCAGATTACTTTTTGTTTTCTTCTTCTTTTATGTTCTTCTTGTAGACTTGTATTGTGATTTTGTTTTGTTGATTTATTTCTTGAATAAAGTTTTTCATTCATATCAATTAGTAGAATCTTGCAAATTTGTCTTAATTTTTTCATTGTGAAAATTAAAAAATTGAATCAATTGGTAACAAAGCGATAATCTTAGCACATGTCTAGTAATAGAAGAGAAATTGAAGAATAATGGAAAAAGAAAATGCATACTTAACAAAAAATAAAGGGATCTATTGCTCATCTCTCTAAGGTGATCACTAAACCATTTGATAGATGCAATAGTGTATTTGAAAGACATGATAATGATATTGTTGAACTGAAAGAGCTTGTAAAAGGATTTAAGAGTCCAAGTAGTTGATGAAATGATCAAGAATCACAATAACAAAACTAATGTTGATGGAGTTGAAAATATTGTAGGAGAAATTTCGAGGCATTTAGAACATGGGTACCCCATGGAAAATTGTAATATCGAGTTTATGTATAATCGGTATAGAGGGAATAATTCGGCTATCAATATAATACAATCAAGTTTATAGTGAAATTTTCTAATTTAATGAGGAAGACTTTGAAGGGTGGGCTTTTAGATGTGATAAATTATTTTTTATAGACATAACACTTGATGAATCTAAAGTAAATCTAGACTGCTATACACTTACAAAGAGAGGCTTTAGAGTGCTATTATGCATATGTTAGGATGCATAGGGCTAATGTCATTCGAATTAGGTTGATTATATTGATTCCATGAGCATCCATTATGGAGCTATGGTATTTAGTGATTCTATGATAGAATTAATGACAATTAGGTAAATAAAGGGTGTGCAATCCCTTCTTAGGAAAATTATTTCAGTAGTAAAAAAAATAAAATTATCCAAAGATTATATTGTTAGTTGCTTTGTGGGCGGTCTTAAAGTTGAACTATAAATTCTAGTAAAGATTATGAAGCTAAAAACCTTAAAAGAGGTAGTTGCCGTAGCTAAACTATAAGAAACCAACCCCGACATTCAATATTACAATAGCAGATTCAACACCAAACCTTCTTCACTATTTTCTCAAAGGCCTAATTCCAATTTTTTCTTGAATACTTAAAGATCTAATTCCAATTTTTTCTTGAATACTCAAAGATCTAATATTATCAATATTCCTAAAACTTCAAATTTTCCAAACCAACAAGCACCAATGAATTTTCACCGAACTTAAACAATAATAAAAAAAGGTTTACTAATATTACCACCTTAGTTCCAAAATGGGAATTTTGTATTCAAGACTAAGAGATTACCTAATAACAAGGAATTAGATGAGAGAAGATTGAAGGGACAATGTTAATATTGTGATGATAGGTACTTTCACGGGTATAAATGTAAGAAAAGAAAAATGCTTACACTTGAGGTAATGTAGAATGAAATAGATGAACATCAAGGGGAAATAAATAAGGAAGAAAGTAATGGAGAATATCATGAGGGTATGAAAAACTTAGGTAGAGAATTATACCAAATCTCTATATACATAGTATTTAAAGGAGAAAATTATCAAAATATGAAGGTTGTAGGAGAATTCAAAAGAAAAAGGATGAAAATATTGATTAATATTGGAAGTACTTATAATTTTTTGATTTAGAATTCCTAAGAAAGCATGCTTGTGAGTTGATTAAAATTCAAACTGTAACTATAAAATTGGTTAATAGAGGTGAAATTTTTTTATGAATATATAAGTAACAAATTTAAATGGAGGATGTCGAGAAAAAAAATTTTAGGTCACTATTTTTGTAATGCAATTAGAGATGTGTGAGATGATTTTAGGTAGCGCACTAAGAGATATTACTTGAAATTTCAAAAACACATGGATGAAGTTTGTCAAATAAGGGAAATTGTTCATGTTTCAAGGTACATGTGTGAAAGTAATTAAAAATGAGGAAGGAAACAAGCTTGATCAAAGACAATGTGCAAATAACAACAATTAAGCTTGTTACAATTAAATCGGATAATGGATATAAAAGCGGTAGGAATGTTAGTATGTGGAATAAAATTTATGTATAATATTCATGCTGAGATAGAGGTGATTTTAGAAAGGTTTGTGGATGTCTTTAAAGAACCAAAAAGATTACCTCTTCACAGGACTCATGACCATAAAGTTGCCTAGAGTCGGAACCTATTAATATGAAATCATATAGGTATCTTTTTATTAAAATGCTTAATCAAATGACCATTAAGGATCAATTCAAGATATATTAGGAAATGGAATTATATAGCCTAGAACAAGTCATTTCTCTTCTCCAGGTAGTGTTGGTTAAGAAAAATGATAAGACTTAGAGAATGTGTGAGGAATATAAAATGCTTAATCAAATGACTATTAAAGATCAATTTCCTATTCCCATCTTTTAAAAAATTTTAGATGAATTGTATGGTTCTATTTGTCAAAGGAATATCAACTAGCCATTTAATTTCGCATATTTTATGCTTGATAATTGATTCACTATAATTACAAATCCTTGATTCTTTCTTTAATTTAGGATATGCTAGCTATATATTGATTGTGATAGCTTTGTATGGTAGTTTTACTTTTATTAGGGTCGTAACTTAGTATGTATATTTTTCTATATAAAGGAATTCTCTAACAAGAGAAGATAGTTTTCTCAAAACTCTCTTAAAGTGTCATGGTATCGAGCCTCAATTCTGAAAAATCTTGTTCGGTTCTTGGTTCTTGGTTATTCTTGATTAATTTTCTTGGCATCATGGCTTCGGATAAGTCCGATGCCTTTTTGATTCGTTTCAATAGAAAAAACTACTTAGCTTAAGAATTTCACTTCAAGATTTTTGTCAAAGGCAAGGATCTATGGGGACATGTTGATGGCGAGCAAACCCGCTTCGATAAAGATGATCCGTACGCCAAATGGGAAGTCAAGGATGCCCAAGTCATGTTATGGATTCTCGGATTTATCGAGTCCAACCTCGTCTTGAACCTCCCGCCTTCAAAAATTACTACCGAAATGTGGAATTACCCGAAGAAGGTCTACAATCAAAATAACATTGCTCGTCGATTCTAGCTTGAACTTGATTTCGCCACACTTTAACGGGACGGTTGTTCTATCTCTCGATTTTTACTCTACCTTCATGAATCTTTAGGCTGAATATACTTGACATTTTATATGCTACTTTACCTTCTTAAGGTCTTAATTCGTTCGGTTAGTTCATGAAACTACTAAACAAGCTCGGTTTCTTATGAAACTAAGACTCGAATTTGAAGAGATCCGATCCAATATTATGAATCGAGAGCTCGTCCCTTCCTTAGATACATGCTTCAATGACTTGTTTCATGAGGAACAACGCCTCCTCATACAAAGCATAATGGAAGAACGTTGCTCCATTTCGTCCCCTGTTCCTATGGCTTTTGCAACACAAGGCAAGCCAAGAGGCCGAGACATGAGCATTGTACGATGCTTTAGTTGCAAAAA